GGCTCCATCCATGTGAAAGAAATAGAGTTCTTTTGGAAAAGCCAGGTGCAGGTTCTGGTTAAAGACAGTGCATCTACACACTGTGGAACATAAGGTCCATGGAGGAGGCCTGGTCTCCTAAGGACTGTGCCAGGAATCATTTATTGGTCCAAGCTCTATCCCACATGATGTAACACTTCTGACACCCAGATCTAATGCGACAGGGCCTTGGTTCAATAGCCAATGGAAAGAACTGTCACTGGAGAGAAAGAACTCTCTAGATTGTCCTTCCAGAATCCAGTGGGAGGAGGCACCACCGCCTAATCTTTGGAAAATGACTTTCTGGTTCCCATCATTTTCTGAATCACTGAGATTTCTTCTGATATGGAGACAGTGGGACTGAATCACACTTCCCTGGTATATGTGAGATCAGCTAGGTTGGAGCGAAGAACCCAAGTCAGCATAGCAGGTAGAAGTAGTGTTTGTGACCAGTGTCTCCAGTCTCAGGAGGAGGAGGAAGTTGAACCTGCTTGAAGCAGTTGTGAGAGACCTCAGCCTTCTGAGCACAGAGCTGGATTCTGGGGCCTGAGTTTCCTGCAGTGCCTTGGGACCCTCCATCCTCTCTATTGTGTGTGGATCTGCACAGATGAGCAGGACCCTGTCATCCTGTCCTGTACCTCTGAGTAACCTGACTCATCCTGGAGCCCTTGATTCTCTCCCCAGATGATGTGATGGTGGGAGGTAGTAGCTTCCCTGCAACTGAAGCTGTGATACTTGGTGTCCCCGCTCCTTCCAAACTTCTCAGGATAAAATTGATGGTCCTGAATTATGTAAAAATGTGGATGCAGAGTCTTGAATAAACAACCTGATCCCAGACATGTGCTACTTAGGGTTCTAGTAAGTCTAAATTTACAGAGAGCTTACATTGCACAACTCACTGAAATGCTGGTGCACTTGAGTTGAGTTTTGAGTGGGAGGGTTCAGATTGGGAACTTATCAAAAGTTTATGAACATAATTGGTGTTCTCTTTGGCCTGCGTCTAGACAACATTTTCAAAACTGAAGTGAAGATTGAGGCAAAACATGAATTTAGGATTTCAGTGGCAGGACCACCCCAATAACAGAGTGTGCAGGTGCTTCAAGGCAATGCAAAGAAGGGCTATTTTTTCAAGAGTTAAGAAGATCAGAATGTAATAAAAGGAACCCGAGAGGTCATGGGTAAAAGAGGGACCTAAATAAGCTCCTGGACCAGAGATCCTTAGCCTTGCAACTGTTTTTCCTGTGACAATGAAGGATGGGTTGATATAGTGGCTCAGGCTGAAGCTGAGCCAGAGACTGGAAAGAGCAGAGAATTTCATTAGGATAGCGTATATAGTTAGGGTTGTTTTTCAGCTGATCAAGTAAGATAATATATTTGAGGTGGAACAAGGAAGAATCAAAAGTGTGTCCTTCCCTTGTTGGGTATCTAAGTATAACGGGAACATGAAGGATGGTGGTGTGGTAGTCTTAACCACTAGTGGTACAAAGATTACTTTTGTAAGTTTTCAGTTGTTTACATTTTCATTTATAGAATTTGTCTAGTCACAATGTAATTTGTGACAGTTGTGGAAGTTGTGATGGACCTTGGGAAAGTCAGAGATCTTTAGGATCTCCAGCTGAAAGAAAGGAGTTATTCACTTGAGAGGATATTTTTTTGGGTGACATTGTAAAACACTGTGTTTGCTCTTCTTCACAGGTTCTGGCACAGAAGTACTAAAACTCTTAGAATATCCTGAAAAACAGGAGCAACTTTGGTTGTTATCCTTTGCCCCTTTAAGTGGTTTCTGAATATATGCTAGTGAGGTGATACATGGTACCTTCCCAGATGAACAGGGTGACCTGAAACCATGATCCTACTGTCTTTAGCCTCCCAAGTAGTTATGATGACAGGTATGAGGCACCACGGTCCAACAAGTTCTTCCTTCTGTCATCTTTCACTTTGGAAATTGAAGTAGCCATTTTTGGAAAGTTATTGTTTAGTTGCTTTGAAATTGGACAATAACACTAGGTAGAAACCAATATAAATAACACAAGCAATCCTACTTTTATATGTTTAATTAACCCTTGAATTTGTTTTGTTCATTCGTGTTTTTTTGTTTGTATCATTTTGTTTAGTTTTGTTTTTTGCAGTGCTTTGATAGAACCTATGGCCTTGCTCATGGTGAGAAATTGATCTACCACCATCTATTCATTTTTTTTCTCAAGGATTCACTTATTTTCATATTTCAATGTTTTTGGCGAAGTGCAAATATTTCATGAGCTCCCATCTCCAAAAATATCCAGAGTAAAAAGACTAGAAGTGTAGCTCAAGTGGCAGAGAATCTGCTTTGCAAACCTAAAGCCCTGAATTCAAACCTTATACAACCAAAAAATTAAAAAGGAGAATCATGCAGAATATGATGATTGATTATTCAATATGCTCATCAGCCAACTGGATGCAAGTATTACAGAGTTCATTAATCAACCAATAATAACATTTTTTATGAACACAATGAATTTTTCTAAGAGAGTAATGTAAAAGTATAGAACAAAACAAAGTCTGATTTCCCTGAGAAGGTGTATTGCCAGTGTGAAGTTGCATAGTACTTGAAGTCAGATGAGCCACAGGTAAATGCTGGTGAGTGCTCTTTCCTTTTTAAAGGTATAACTATGGCCATCATGGGGCCATTTTCTCTTCAGTGTTTTGACTTGATGTGTCTAGTTATTCTGGATTTAAATTTCATAGAGTTTTTTTACTAGGAGATAGTAGTAAAAGGACACATGCATGCACCCAAAGTATCTAGATGCCCTAGTAGATGTAAATAAAAAGGGTCTGTACACACATTACTACAGTAGATGGATACCACTTTTATCCTTTCCCTACCTTTTCCATTTTATCCATTAAATGGTGTTCTTCTATTATTGACCATTTGGAATTAGAAAAAAGTATTAGTCCTATTCCATAGAGAAGCCTTCTGGTTGCTGTCTTTGAGTGTATTTCACAAACTCAATTACATGTGATACTGAACTACACCATTTTCACTTTTGTTACAGTGGTCATGGTTTTGGGGTCTTTTCTGGATGTCTTCTGAAGGATGTGAAACAGTTCTGATTACCATTCATAATATGTTCTGTGGGTATTAGAAACAATTTCAGGACTCTGGTAATTAACTAATTAATTAGAACTAAAGATATATCAGTGGAGATTATATAATTTGCCAGTTAATTAAAGCATTACACTTTTCTTATGTATTTGGATTTTGAACACGTATTTTACTCAACTAATTCCTAAATCTGGAATATAGATCTTGATTCACACACATGGTGTCTTATGTTGAAAAGACATGTGCATTTTTCAATCACGTTCTCATTCATTAGTGTATGCTGTACACTAATCCTTTTATTTTGCTTGCATTGCAGATATTTATCCTCATTGTTTGTCCCTTGACACTCTAGTATATTAACATTCCACATTCATTTTGTATGTTCCTTGTGTAGTAGGTTTCCAAATGGTCTTCTTTTTGTGTTACTTTTACACAGAAACTTCATACTTAGCTCTTGAACTAGAGATGCATACCAGGATCACATTGAACATAAGCTAGTCCTCCCTTAGTTTTGCAAATGCTGGGAATAACAGGCATGTGACACCATGACTTCACAAGTATTCAGATTTTATCTTTCCTATTTCCCATGCAAATGGATCATTGTCCATGGCGTTGGAGAATACAATGTGTGTTTTCAAGGAGAAACTGTGTTCCAGATTTTGTGCTCTTAGTCACCATTGTATGATGTGTCTTCTGTCAGGAATCAATTTTCTCTTACTTTAAAGTCAAGGGAAGACTGGTTCCCTTTCCTCTCAGGCCTATTTGTTAATTTTTGTTGTAGTACAATGTCCTTGATAATGTAGTTTGAACATTGTTTATTAATTATACACAATAGGACACTATGTTCTGTCCCTTGCTCTCTCCCATTCTTCTTCATTATTATTCTTCCTTTATTGACAGTGGTTCTTGCTATGTAGATCACTTCATTGTTTAACTTGTGTTCCTTCTGGTCCTCCACATGTGCTTCAAGTGATCACTTTCTCATTCCAGTTATTTTTAATTGCTGTTTGCAATTTGTGACACTGATTACACTTTTAAAAGTAGTTTTGTTCATGAGTTTTAAGGTATATTTTAGAAATTGCAAAATTGTGTACAGCTACTTGAAATCTATTTCTAGGGACACATGCTACATGTTTTCTTTCTACATTATGTTTTTGCTTGCTAAAGCAAAAACTGTAACTATGTGACTGATCCTTCATGAGTCTTATTTAGCTTTAAATTTGGGTTGGTTTGTTCTAAACCAGGTAGAAGCTTCCAAATGTTCTCTCTTGATACAGTCACCAGGAAGGTGCTTAATTCCCAAAATAAAATAAAATTGGTTTGGAAAGAGATATTAAATACTATTTGTCATACCAACTTTCTATTCATGACCATGAGTGAGTGCATTGTGGGCTTTCTTACTACAGACTCCCTCTGGTAAACCTTGCAGAAATGTGCAAATAATCGTTAATAGTATACATACAATAGGATACTATTAGAATAAATTGGTTCAGGACACTCCCCTTTTTACTCTTTATTTTTGGTTTGGTGAGGTTCATCCCGTTAGCATTTCTGCAGTGCCAGTAGACAAAAAACTTTTACTCATGTGGTAAAAACATTATTCGTTCAGTCTGTTTGCACCTGATGTTACTCCAATGGGAACTAAGAAGGAATTCGTTAGTAGATTGCTACAATCTCAGTGTATTACATGTAATTTTTGTGACCGTGTTCTGCTTTGAATTTAACAGAGAGGTCCATTGATAAGTCAGAATTACTATGAAGTGCTTGTGAGTATAGATGGATAATGAGAGTGTGATAAAAATGAGTGCATTGAATATATGGAGACCACATCAGCATGTGAATTTATTACACAGAGATTGTCTGTTTCTACTCCTCTGACACTCACAATTCTTCTCACAAATGTGTGTGGGACATATTAGGAGCCCCTGACCTTTGAGGATGTTGATGTGAGCTTCACCCTGGAAGAATGGGGCTGTTTGGATCCTTCCCAAAAGAAGCTCTACAGAGAAGTGATGCTAGAAACCTATAGCAACCTGTTCTACATAGGTAAATATGGCATCATTACCTTAATGAAAGTGTGCACTACTGTTGTGACTCATTGGTGTTGTTGCCTCATGGGGTATTTAAAAGGGGACAGTAATGGTTCATGTATATGCATGATCATATATTATATCATGAAAATAGCTGAGGTCTCAAATTTTTCTTTCATATTGATTAAATACTAATGATTTCTCTGTGTCTTACAAACAAAAGAATTAAATGAAAACATTGAAGAGGACTTCAGGAATCCCAGAAGAAATATGAGGTAATTTGTACTTATAACCAAAACAGTGAACATCAGATGTGGCATTGACAAGAAGTTTGAAAACCAAGGAAATGAGACCAAAACTTCTACTTCTAAATTGTTTAAATCACGAAAAGTTTCTCTAAGATTGGAAAAATAAGTTAAGTGTCCACAATCAGAAAATCCAAAGTTTGATATGTGCCATTTTTCCTGTTTTCTCCTAAGAAGTCACAATAGACACTGTCCAATTGCTCAATACACAAAAATAATCCCACTCTGTGCACAAACTAATTTAACTGTATTGTATCAATTCCATCACAATGGGATTATTGTGTGCATTGGTGTAGAATGGCACAATACTCATCCTTTGTCTTCATGTTCATTCTTTTATTTTACAGTCCAACATGCTTTTTATCCAAGGTATCTCAATAAGCCCTTTTAGTGTATTTGAATGTAGCAAAATTCATTCAGTGTTGTCAAACACCTAACATGGAAATAGTATGATGGAAACACATTGTGAACACCACTGTTTGGTAATAGCTGTCCTCAGGCCCTGCTGCAGAACAAGTACATTTGTGTTCATAAATCCTCACAGTATCAAGCACCATAACATGTCCTCATAAATCTTTAATAGGGTAACAATGGTAATCTTTGTCTGTTTTACAGCCCTGAAGTATTGGCAAGACTGCATGAACATAAACAATGTATTCAATGTGGAGAATCCCTTCAACAAACTCCAGAGAACATTGTAAGCAAGGATACTCTGCTTAGAACAGCACCATGTAAAAGCAATATATGTGATACTTATGAGAAAACCTTCACTGATGACAAAGCTCTTCTAATCCATGAAAGGATTCACAATGTAGTGAAATCTCATGGATGGAAACAAGTTGGAAATGTTTTCACTCCATCTGGTACCTTTCACATTCATGAAACTTCTCACATTAGTGAGAAACCCTATGTATGTAAACAATGTGGGAAATTCTTCACTCATGTGTGGAACCTTCGATGTCATGAAAGAAATCACAGTGTAGAAAAACCCTATGAATGTAAGCACTGTGGGAAAGTCTTTAGTCAAGCCAATAACCTTCAAAGACATGAAAGAACTCACACTGGAGAGAAACCCTATGGATGTAAGCAGTGTGGAAAAGCCTTCACTCGTTCCAGTTGCCTTAAAAAACATGAAATTACTCACACTGGAGAGAAACCCTATGGATGTAAGCAATGTGGGAAAGCCTACACTGATTCAAGTACCCTACGTATGCATGAAAGAACTCACACTGGAGAGAAACCCTATGAATGTAAGCGATGTGGTAAAGCCTACATTTTTCCCAGTTCCCTTCGTATTCATGAAAGAACTCACACTGGAGAGAAACCCTATGCATGTAACAAATGTGGGAAATTCTTCACTTGTGTGAGTAACCTTCGATATCATGAGAGAACTCACAGTGGAGAAAAACCATATGGATGTAAACAATGTGGGAAAGTCTTTACTCATGCCTGTTATCTTCGAATACATGAAAGAATTCATACTGGAGAGAAACCCTATGGATGTAAGCAATGTGGGAAAGCCTACACTGATTCAAGTGCCCTTCGATGTCATAAAAGAAGTCACTCTGGAGAGAAACCCTATGAATGTAAGCAATGTGGTAAAGCCTACACTCTTTCCAGTTCTCTTCGTATTCATGAAAGAACTCACTCTGGAGAGAAACCATATGGATGTAAGCAGTGTGGGAAAGACTTCACTCGTTCCAGTTGCCTTAAAAAACATGAAATTATTCACTCTGGAGAGAAACCCTATGGATGTACGCAATGTGGGAAGGCCTACACTGATTCAAGTACCCTTTGTATTCATGAAAGAACTCACACTGGAGAGAAACCCTATGAATATAAGCAATGTGGGAAAGCCTCCACTTAATGCACTCACATTCAAGCACACAGAAGAACTCACACACATGTGAAACCGTATAGATAAATGCAATGTGAGAATGTATTCACTTATTCTGGTCGCCTTTGAGTCCTGAAAGAATTCAAATTTTATGGGTACAACCAATGTGGCTAAAGTGTTCACATGCCCTATTACCCTTAAAATACATAAATGTACTTAGACTAGAGAAGAAAGCTATGGATATGAGCAATTTTTAGTGACATTATGCAGAGAAACTATAAATGTACGGAATGAGCAAAAACCTACATTCTAGCCAGTATCCTCCATACTCACTAAAGAATGCAAACTGGACAAACCCAGTGTATATAAGCAGTGTGGAAAACCTTCCTTAGTTCTAGTACCCTTCATGCACCTGAAAGAACTTATTATGTCAATAAACACTAGGGTCATGTCAAATATGATAAAATGTTCACACATCCTAGTCTCCTTCAACAACATGAAGGAACTCAGAAACACTATCAATGTAAGTAAGGTAGGAATGCCTTCATCTTTTGTCGTAATCTTTGACATGACACAATTCTTCTCTTATTCCCATTACCAAAAGAATACGTGTAAGATATCACACTACAGTGATATGAATGAATTCAGAAACACTATCAATGTAAGTACAGTAGAAATGCCTTCACCTTGCAGTAATCTTCTACACAACACAATTCACCTTGTAACAGAATGCTCTTCATGTGTGTAATGTGACTAAGCCTTCACACATTCCAGTGCTCCTTCAAAACATACAAAATTAAAATATGTATTGAAGTACTGAGGGAAAGAGTTTACTTAACCCTTCTTCCATTTACAACATGAAGGAACTCCATTCTTGCACTCATGACACTGCCCAGTTTATATAACTTTGTTTAGTAAAAGCATGCCATGTCACCTGCTTTCCTCTACAGATATGCTCAAATATGGTATGAAGAGAAAACTTGACTCCAAGCCTCTAGTCCATTTTTCTCCTAGTTGCTTCAGAGCAGGGATCTGTGAACTATTTGCACAAGCTGATCTCCAACCATGATCCTCCTTTGCCACCCTCTCATGTACGAGGATTATAGGCCCAAGCCACTGGCAATTGGCTTAAACATTCTTAGAGATCTGTGGGACATGTATGTCTAAATTTTTTTCAAGAAACAGTCTATGCTTCTTATTCTGATGCCAGCCTATAATGGCAGCTGTATCAATAGACTTGCTTAATTGCTGGAAGGAGGTGCTTAAATATTTCTTTTATATGGGTCTGGAATTTTTGACTCAGGGCCTCATGCTTGCTAGCCAGGTTTTCCAACACTTCAGCCACTTTGGCAGCCCTTGTGTGTCTTTTTGATTGTGACTTTCAACATGTTCTACATTTTATATTGAGACAGGGACTTATTTAACTGGAGATGTATAATAGGAGTTTTGAACTTAGGATGTTCCAACCTCTGTTTTCCAAATCCTGGGATGAAAAATGTGAAATAATACTTGTGAAAGTGTTCAGATTTTATCTTTCTTGTTTCCCATTTCAGTGTGCATATTGTCCAAGACACAGACAAGAATAGAAAGCATTTTTTAAGTAAAAACTGAATTTGCTCTTTTCTCATTTTTAGATGTTTGTTGTTTTGGCCACCATTGTGTGATACCTGTTTTTTCAGGAGTCAATTTTCTCTTTAAATTTAAATCCACTGAAGACTCATTTGTTTTCCACTGGGGGCTGTTTGTTAATCTCTTTATTATTATATAGTATGTTTAATAGTATTGTTACAAGATTGTTATTAATATTAAACTATAGCTCACTTTGCATTTTTTTCTTTCTCTTGCCCTTCCTTTGTTTTGCTCTGTAGACACATGTGAACTTTAGTTCACAATCCTTCTGGTGGAACTACAATTTGGATCAGTTCCTTCCATTCTTTTATTTTTGTTTTTGCTGGCCCTGGGATTTGAACTCAGACCTTTTTTTGGTGCACAGATAGTGTACCATATGAGCTACCCCAGCAGCCTTTGTATGTGTTTTAAGTACTTTTAAGATAAGGTCCCTCAAAGTATTTGCCCAAGCAAGCTTCAAAATATAATGCTACCGATTGCTCTTCTTCACCATCTAGGATTAAGTTGTGAGCTGTTGGTGCCCAGCTATGGGGATTTCCTTATTTGTCCACTCAATTCAAATGTCTTAAGGCATTTAGTCTACCTAGTATGCTTCATAAAGTGGATTTTGTTACATACTTTACACTGTGTGGCTGGAAGTAGAGAATTGTAAACACACCTGAGAATCAGGACAACTCAGAGTAAACACAATCAGTTATGCACACAAACCACCCCTTACCTTTGATAGGCAAACACTAGAAATAAGACAAAATAAATAGCTTAATTAAAATGCTTTCAGAAACTGCCAAGAGGAATATGGAGGAATGACAGCAAACAGCACATGTGCTTACACTTCTACACAAGATAAAGGGCAGATAAGGAGAGTGATAGGGACATTTGATGCCACATCTGGGTAAAAGAATTATCAAGAAAAGAAAACAGTTTAAGCAAGAATTTTACGTAGGAAGCACTGGGCAACTGAACACAGGGTAGTCGTACTGATCTGATGTGAGATTTGGGCAGGTTTGTTTATGTAATGCAAAGCAAAAAAATTAAAAAATCAAAGCTACACCCTGTAGCAAGAGAGGTGGAAGACTCTAGAAGGAATATTGCACTGGGTGTCCTGAGAACTCAAGCTTTTATTGTGGTTGGTACAGATGGGGATTTTCATTCCTGGAAAACTGGTCTCTGTGTGATTAACTCTCATAGTGTGAGCTAGATGCTGGTGGTTCAAGCTTGCAGTTCTAATTGTTAGGGTAAGTATTGGGCAGCCACCTTTGGATTGTGCCCTTCCTCATTACAGTTGGCTTACTGAAAACTACACCCAGCCCTAATGAATAACAAACATTCAACTTTAGCCAACTACTAGAAATTTCCCACCCAGCCTCATAAAAAGACCGCATTATCTCAGGAGTAGCAGAGGGCCAATGGAGGGTATTCCTGTCCAGTGACCTTCCTGGGAGTCCACCCTGGGAACTTGGACTTCTCCTACTGGCTATATCTGTCCCTAGGCTGCAAGCAGCTGTGGGCTTCTCTCTTGCTGGGGTCTGCCTCCAAAGAATTCTCACAGTAAAGCATGTGCTGAGGTATTGAGCCATCCCCATGCTTCTTTCAGTCTAGCATATCTATCTCCTCATTTATCTCTGCTTACCTTTCAGTCCAACATGCCTTTTTTCCTGTTAACAGTAGGTACTCAGGCAGAGACCAGAGTGATTACAGTTTGAAAGCCAGCCTGGATAATTAGTTCCTGAGGCCACAAGTTCAAATCAAGTGTGCCAAAAGAATACTTCTCAAAACTTCTTGTCATCAACATGTCCTAGGTGCTGGGTTTGAGGACATACTTGCTTGGATGATCGGGCTGAGGCTGAGTGTCCTGGGGTTTCAGGTCAGCAAGATTGCTGTATTGTTAATATTAGCTCTCTAGTCTACAATGTGATTCCTTATCAACAGACAAGCCATGGTTCTCAGCCATCAGATTTCCTAAATCCTTCATTAGTCCTCGTCAGAGATAATCCTGCTTCTTAGCCAAGAGAGTCTCACCATAACAGCCATAATTCCAACCTTTTTGCTATACAATGAAATAGAAGGTGAGTCTACTCCCATTTTTGGTCTGTAACTGAGTATGTGCCTTCTTACATGGGCTTTCCAACAAAATTTTAGTGGGATTAAGTGGTTTTTGCACATATTATTTTGGTAAGGCTTTGTCCATTTTCTTACACTGAGTGTGTAAACATTTTAAAAGGCATAGAGAAGTCAGAGAGACTTGTGGAAATGAGAAAGTCTAATTTTTGCTATTACTTAAAATTATTAGTTCCTTAAAAGTAGTTTATGGTATCATAAAAGAGTTGAGTATAAATTTGGTGACATAGGAATGAATTATGTGTTTCCTTTTATTCAGTTGAATAGGAATATATTTTCACCTTAAGTTTACTTCACTCACTACTTCTCTGACTTGATTAACATAAGAGAAAAAACTGCACAGTGAAACAAGACATCTAACATTGACACAGATTTCATTTGTTCTCTGAATATCAGATTCACACCAAAGGTATCCTGATGCCAAAGAGGAATAAAAATTGAAAAGTATACTTAAAGGCATATTTTTTAGGTAACTGAGTCACAAACAGCTTTAGGCCACTCATGAAGGTAGCAATTATCTTAAGGCAGCATGGAAAATAGACTGCCCTGGGAACTACACTGAGGTGAATGGGGAAGTTATTGTCAAAATTTACTCCTGGGGAGAGGAGTGATCAGGAGTCATCACTGTCAAAATTTCTACAACCAAAACTAAAAGGGGAAGTGTCAAATGTATTTTAATATCACTACCACAACACTAGATACCGAGAACCACATGTAATATGTCTCAATCTAGTGATAGGAAATAGCCTAGGATAGGCAGGCAGGGGACTGAAGAAGCATAGATCCATGGCTAACCAGAAAAGGGCATCACAACACAAACATCTTTTGGATACAATAGAAGGGAGTCACCTTGAAACGACACCCAAGGTTGGGCATTGCAACACACATCTTTAAGAAACATACAGAAATGTAGAAGGGAATTGCCTCTAAATGATGTCCTTAGTGCCAAACGTTTGTGACCAAGCCACCTAAGATTTTTTTTTTCAAAATCCACCTGTCACGAAGACCTATGCAAACATCCATCTCATGAAGTCTCATGGGATTTCAACCGCTCAAATTGATCAGGAAACATTTTCACAAGGTGGAAATTTTATAGTGGATGATACTGGTCTCAGCAAACATTTTCACAGTGTGGAAAGACTGACTTTAATTAATTAAATGTTTATTTGTCAGGAATGTATTATAACTTAGGGCTTCTACTGGCTTTGCAGGCTCTCTTCCTGTTGAACCCCATCCTCAGCCCAGATGTCTTCAATTTTTTTAAGTGTGGCACATAGCCTCAAGACACAGGAGAGTCTCATTTTGGCTTTGTGAAAGATGGAATTACTCCTGGTAGGATTTAGATGACTGGGTTCCCTGATGCAATCATTGTTGATCCAACACTCTGCTTTCTGGACATGCTGAGGCAAGGTTTGTGCCCACAGGTCCATGTAGCCTTGCCTCCATAGATTTTCTGACCGACTTTTGTGCTTTATATCATATGCACTTACCTCATATGCTTGAGATGTCACATATACCACTAGATGAACAGTTTTGGGTGTCTAAGCAGCATATCTATGGACCCCCTAGACATTATTATCAAAAAGACTTTCCACAGCTACCTCAACCCAGCATATCCCCTGTACTTTCCTTAGTAGGGTCTGTGATGTTTCAGCCTCTGGTA